GAATAAACACACACACACACACACACACACACACACACTAAAGACCCCTGAAGCCCAAGGGACCTTCTGTCTCGCAGTCCCTCCACTGGTACCCCTTTAACATGCACGTGCGTGCGTGCGTGCGTCCTGGTATAAACGCAGTCCTTTCATTGGTTCGTTTGTCTGTGTGGTTAGGGTTTATTTAACTGAAGCTACTCCTGTGCCTGACAAGAAGTGTGTGTCCTTCCCTGGTACGCTCCTGCTTCAGTGAGCACTTTAGAGTCTGTGAGTGTAATTCAAACACCTTTTGTAAGCCTGCACGGCCTGCCTCTTCAGCTGCAGATGCTCATTCAGGTAGCCGAGCATAATGAAGGCATCGGGGTCGGACTGGATCCTCTCTGGGAGGGATTCAAGAACGTAATGTTAAACACAATCTGTTTCCAGAACATGACTCAAATAAAACCGAGGGCTCTGTGGATCAGATGCTGTACCTGTGTACTTGCTGAGAGCCACCTGAGCAGCAGAGACGGCGTTCATCTGGACTATGTTGTAGCGGTACAGTGTCGAGTCTCTGTTGCTCTTGTCCAGCAGGGTGGAACATACCCAGTAAGCATAACCCTTCACTCCCTCCATCTGCCAAAAAAGGACGTAGATTAAGAGGGGGGAAAAGCAGAGAAACTTAAGGAATACATGGAGCTTCATTTTGGTATCACCCCGGGTTATTTGCTATTATTAGCAACATACTTATTGCTGTAAACTTAGCAGAGTGACAGATAGTTGGAGCAAATATGTAACTGTTATTAGCCAGAGAATGAGGGGGTATCTAGAAGCCCCAGTGGTCGTAGAAGGTGACCCACATGAGTGCTGAGTTCAGTGGTGTGTCTGAAGAGATCCATGGTGTCAAAGCTTCCCACTCTCTCTGCTATCAGCGCCTGGTAGGAGATCAAAGAGAAACAACGTATATTTAGACAGACAAACAGGGTCAGAGACAAGAAAGAAAATCATTACAGTATGATACATATTAGCATACTGATATTGTATTTATTTTATTCTAATGAAATCGTTGAATCTATACTTTCATATATAGTGCTAGTGCTAACTAATAGAATCAAATGGCAGCACATTTGAGCCAAGAACAAAGTAGTTCTCCTTCAGCTGAACTTGAAAACCTTTCATTGCTGAATGAAATGGTTCATATCTGAATGTTAGAATTAATGCCAAGTGTTCAGTTCCTCGACATGATCCATTAAAGTTGAAAGGATGTCTCTGTACCTGTCCGATCCAGCAGTTGACGTAAAGCGGCTCCAGGGACTGGGCAATCTTGAAGGCCTCGTGAGCCAGCTAAGAAAAACAAGAACAGACTTTAACATCCGCCAACTATGATACAAAAACGAAATGAATGTGAAAGAAAACTGTTCACATACCTCTTTATTGTCTTTCTTTAAATACAGGGTGCCAAGGTTGGTCCAAGCAACAACATTCTGTAACAAAATCATAAAATGTCACATAAAGAACATCAGCATATTTTCTGGGAATACTTTTTCATCATGACCGTAATGAATGTTCAGTACATACATTTGGTTCAACTTGAATGGACTTGATGAAGCAGTGTTGAGCCAGAGCGAAGTTCTCAAGACCTGACGAAACAGAACGTAAGAGACAAGATTGCATAAGTTACTATGACACTTTGTTCTAATACAGACCCATGACTTAAAGGTAGGGTAGGTAAGAATGGAGAAACCAGCTCGAGTGCGCTAGAATTTGAAAATACACAACCGTAAAAAATCTGCCCCTTCCTTCAGACTGCCTTACAGAGCCCCTCCTCCAACACACACGAACGCGCACATGACCAATGAGGGCACGAGATAAGTTTGTGCACAGAAGGAAGGCTGACAGGCAGGTAGGCCATCCAGTTACTTTAGCCGGGCCGGCTCAGATGATTGGTCGTGGTTTTTACAGCGCCACGGCTTCCACAGATGACATTTATTTATGTATTTATTGTCAAAGCATTTAATGTATTCATTGCTATCGGGATGTTAAGAGCATTCCATGGAATATAACAACAAGCGTTTCTGAAGTGAATTACCTACCCTACCTTTAACTACTGTATCAACTATTCATATATTGGAAATCAGGCAAAAAGAAAAAAAAAAAAGTAGTTTGATTGTGTGGTTGTGAGAGCAGCCTGTGTTAGCAGNNNNTCAAACAAATCCCCTCAGTTGTCACCTCCATGGAAACTCATTTAACAGGGTATCTGCAGGAATCCTGAAGTCAAATGCAATTCCTTTTAAGACCCTCTCCATACGTTTTAAGACCTCATCGCCACTTCGAGTTTTAACAGGTTACCTTGGCGACACACTTTACCTCACATTGACTATATACAGTATTGATTGTCCTTCCTCCTTATCTTCCAACCATTTGGACGCAGACTTGCATTTCCCCATAACGATGTTGTTTAACAACCGGCTAATCAAGCAGTGAGCGTGCGATGTCCTGTTTAGATGACGTCAAATCCAACGGGATGCCATAAATAAACTACACAGAATCACACTACACACCTACGCAATGATTACATTCAGGCAGACTGTAGAATACAACCTCTTTGGACAATGGATATACTTATTGAAAACAAGCTACAAAATGTAATATCTTGGAAAATGCCGTTTAATACTTTTTAATAGCCTTAATTTTCGCTAAATTGATTTATCAACTTTTAATACTTTTTAAGACCCCGCGGACCCCCTGTAAATGTAACAGAGTGCTTGTCTCAGTAACAACTGTCCAGATGCCTCTTACAATAAGAAATACATGATTTGTTCACTCACCTTGTGAAAGGTCCCTGATGGCATCTTTAAACCTCCCTTCTTGCAGTGCTTTGGTGCCCAGACCCAGGTGACCTATTCCACTGTTAGGGGCCACATCCAGGAGCCGGGAGAAACAGCTGACTGCACCCTCATCCTGAACACCTTCACATTCAAGTATAACATGCAGAAAGAGCAGGACTGAGTGTCACAGCCTCAGGGCATTCTGGGATGACTGATTTGTGTAAGCAAGACAACAGCATGTTACCTGTTTTGAGGTAATGAGAACAAAGCACCTCAAGAGGATAGCTTTGGTTTGGGTAGAGCGAGAGCATGGACTCACATGCCTCTTTCATTTTGGGTTCTTCCTGTGGCAGCTACAGGAGGGGAAGATTCACGATGAGCAGCTCATTAAAACATAACTGCAAAGGGCCATGTATGACGTGGACTCATTTTGATAGACGTGAAAAACATCCTTCGTTTTCAGTGGTTCTGACTTGATGAGGTGGACTTACTTTAGAAAGACATTTGACATAGTCAGCTGACATCTTCTTGTGTTCCTCTCCTGGGACAGGGTCCATGAGAACCATGGCCTTTTCAAATGCAGTGATTATCTGAAAAGCACAAACAGTTACATGAGGTTCAGAGAGACATGTGGTTTTTATGTTAGTCCGGGCTAATAGATTACAGCGTGGGGTGGGCTCTTATGTGTTGCAAAGTGTTTATACACAAAAAGAAACATAATATTTGGGGAAATATCTCACATGTTGTTGAATTTCATTGTCCTGCTCTTCCCCATTGAGGCAGTCTGAGAGCAGTTTGGTCAGCTGTTGCCATAGCTGCAGTAACTCTTTCTTGTCCACTCCCTCTTCTTCCTTCACTTGAATGAGCAGCAGCTTAACCTTTGCCAACTATATTCAAACATACATATTAATTAAAATCTACGAACGTAAAAAAAAAAAAAGAAAGATAATCCATCGTTCCATCCATTGAATGCATGTTTTAATATAAAATACCTGGTATTTTATATTAAAACATGCATTCAATGGATGGAACGATGGATTATCTTTCTTTTTTTTTTTTTACGTTCGTAGATTTTAATTAATATGTATGTTTGNATCTGGCCCTCCGGTATATTGCACACACACCTTCCTCAGCTCAGAGCCTGAGCCCAAACATTGATGAACTTGCACCCAAGATGAGACGCCAAGTATCTGAACTAGCATCACAGAGCAGCACACTGAGTTTACATGGATGTTTCCTTCTGTACTTTTTTTCTTGTGACAACAGGGCATGTTCGGTTTTTTCTTTGAGAGAAATAGTTTTGTTGAAGCTGTTGTTGGCCTGTGGAAAAATGTAATCATAAGAAATGACTCTGGAAAAGCTGCAGATAGAGCCATAAGAAATGAATGCAACTGATTATTTAATGTTTTTTTTTTATAGGCAATAATTTAAGCTGTGTTAGTTCCAGGTTTAATATGTGCAATAAGTTCATTTCAATACGTTTTGCAATAAACATTGAACCAGTCCGGCTCTCGACTATTACCTATTTTTTGATTTTGGTCCATTGTGTATTTGAGTTTGACACCCCTGCACTACAGGAAAGGGAAAACCCCAAAAAGCACAATAGTGTCCCTTTAACATGGAGTACTTCAGAAACATCTGACTTGAGGGACTTTTTTCTCCACCAATAAAACCATAGTGAGCCAATAATAAAAGGTATAAAGGCAGAGTAAATTATCTGGCCTGAAGCAGTCACATAATTCACTTTGCCTGGTACTTAGGCAAATAGGAAAGTACAGATTTTCTAACCGGCTTTGCTTCTCCTTCTCTGACCTGAGGGTCCACAGTGAACCAATGGCACTCCTTTTGTTAAAGACCAGAGTGGACATGTACAGACGGAGAGAAAGAAGTCCTGAGCCATTTCACTTTAAAGTACTACTGTCAGTTTTAAAGCACTGAAGGCTCAAGGGCAACATTACATTTCTGATCATCTGCTACATTACGAAACCATCCATGTCTGCTTCAGAGTATAGACTAAACATGGAGAAGCACCGTCGGTTTTTTATGCTCCATATATCTGGAACAAACTACCCGAAAATTGGAGGCCTGCTGCAAATCATTTATTTTAAATCCAGGCTGCGCGGAGACTTTTCTGTCTGCTGCTGCGTTTTATTGAATCAAATAACTATTCATATCTTACTAAGCAGTCATTTTTATTCTTGTATTTTATATCCTGTCTTATTCTATTTTGGCTCATTTTTAAATGTCTATCTCTTGGCTTTATAAAATGCTTAATACGGATTGTTACTTACTTCTGATTTGTTTGACGGTCATGATTGGTTATCTCCATTACTGAACAGTCGGATGGGTCACATGCGGCCGCAAGGAGTCGTGGGACAGCATTAACTTTCCTTCAGTGACGGATGGTCCAGTGTGTCCAAAGTCATCAGGAACCTGGGGATTTCTCTGAGCTCTTTTTAAAAATGTATTTAAATTACATGTTATAATATGTTTGTTTTTTACTTTGTCTTAAGCTTTTAACGTTTTTGTAAAGCACTTCGAATTGCCTTGTTGTTGAAATGGGCTATATAAACTCGCCTTGCCTTGTTTTGGACACTTGAGACAATAATTTATGTTTCTCTTCTGGGCTGTTTCCATCCCTGACATAAAAAGACCTAATAAATAATCTCTAAATATAAGTAGGATTTGTTTTCAATTAATATTTAAACGTATTCAGTGTAGTCCAATTTCCTGCCAGCACAGGCCAGATGCAGTGTTTTGAACCACCTCCAGGGGCAGTGTTGTACTAGTTTTTAAAAGGATCATCTATATCCAGTAGAGTGTAAACCTGTTTGCTTCTAATCTGAAACTGTGATGACCCAAATGAAGTCGGTTTGGGGGTAACATGGGTAAATGATTCATTTAGTTGCAGCTTTGACTCTGTATGCTTTTGATGAGCTGGACTGTGGTCATTCTTTCAAACACTGCTGCTCAGACTGCTTTATCTTCACCAATTCATACCCAAAAAAAAGCGTATAGGGTGCACTTGTATGATTGTGTTCAACAAATTCAAGACACAGTCCATTGTAATTTAGAACAAAAATGTTTATTCAAATCAAAAGGAAGAACTAGACAAAATGTTAAACCATTCAGAACATAGCATATTCATAGAATATCTATACATCGTCATGTTCGAAAAAGACAAAAAAAAAGATCAAAAAACAATACATACAAATGGAGAATGAGGAAAAGTCAGATATTGCACTTTGTTTCTGAAATGTCTCAGATCCTGTCTCCCAGGTTGTTTTTTTATCTGTGGACATTTCAGTTCCTGCCTTTATCAGGTCAGGAGTTTAGCTTAGTTTTGACACTGGATTACTCTGCGGCCCGAGCACATGGACTATGGAATCGGCCAACCTGAAACATATATGTAAGCTTATTCATTAGCATGTAGCTTGATCCAGTTCCCCTAAAATAAAACCCAAACAAAAAAAAGTGTGGAAGAAGTTCTGTCTGCTATCCCAGGTTAGCTAAATGTTTAAATGATACGGGGGAGGGGTTGCTGATCAACAGCTGCCACCCCCCCGCCTGGGATCAGAGAGGTCAGGGAGACTAACTCGGGAAGGTTACTTGTTAACTAGAAAGCAAACTATATTAATGCCCAGAAATACATAAAATCATCTTCAGAGCCTGTCCAGGATCTTGCTTCAAAAAAAGGACTTCATTTTTTTTTTTTTATATCCTCTTCCCTTTTTGTCCTTGAAACATGGAAAGGTCAAAAAACATACAGATGTGAACAAACATAATAAACAAATAGTTAACGTAGACGCTGAACAATGAAGAATCATGATCAGGTCTTTTTCTGTGTCAAGGCCACTAAGATAAGATCACTTTAACAATCTGCAGTTTGTCGATTACTCTCTGAAGCCGTTTAGTTAAGTTGCCAGCTGGATCTCCGTAAGAGCGTGCGCACACACACACACACACACACACACCCCCTGTCAGCATTTTTAAAGTTGCTAATCTTAACAAAACATTTAATTAACGTCCTAATCAGCACTGCTTTACTGAATAACTCCTAAGATCCTAACTATCAATTCCTCCAGACCTTCACCATTGAATGCTTTTTAAAAAAAAATATTATTATTTTAATATTTATTTATTAAAAGAGTGCTGCTTTCCTTCTTTTCCTGACTATGCCAAACCTCTGCTGCAGCTGGTCTTTTGTGTTGAATGAGTGAGAAAACCAATGTATTACTCATGTCAACCTACTACTACTACTTGTTCTGACCGAACTGAACAAAGGTTTGGCAAAGCCGCCATCTTTTTATTATTTAATCTGTGCTGGGTTTGCTTCTTTAACACAGAAGCAGGGTCACTCGGTTGTTTTTTATAGTTAGCATTCTGGCTTCACTGGTCTGGATGGATGAATTGGGCAGGTGCAGTGGGACAAACAAAGGGAATGTGATACATCTCAGAAAGCTTGCTTCACTGCGGGTCTAATCTCTCGTTTTTGGAAAATTATTCATTTTTTTAACAGTGCATTTAAAAAAAGCTAAAACATTTCTCTTTTTTTCTTCCACCAAACGTTTGGCAAGTGAGACGACCACCTGAGACAATGCTTGTTGGGCAGTTATGCAAGCCTGGTTAGCCCTGAGATTAGGAGTAGAGGGGCTGCAGGTAATAAGGGTGAGGCGAGTCCCTTCACAATCCACGCTCACACACACACAGACACACACACACACTCTCACACACTTTTCTCTTCAGCTACAATTTGAGTGGCAAATGCAGGTCTGCAATCCTCCTAGTCCAAATTCAGAGCAACCTCAATAAAAAAAGAAGAAGCCTTTCTAGTATTGGGGGCTAAATACAAGCTAACAGAAGTAAAGTAAAAGAGGAGGGAAGCCACACGTGGATCCAAGCTGAGGAGGCAACATCTTAAAGAGCCTCCAGATGGAAAATAGTGAGCTGCAGTTGTCAAAAGAAGTCTAGTCGTTATGAGTCATAGAGGAAATGTCATAAAGAAATATCTTCTACAAATTCAGTGCATTGTTCTTGTCCTTGTCAAATCCTGTTGTCAGCGTTGCTCGAAGTGATGCAGAGGAAAAAGGTAAGCCTTGCAGGCTTATATTCGTAGTCTGGCGCTTTACAAGGCTGGAACCAAACTATTAGTGATTTATTTTTTCATTAAACAGAGCCACACAACTCAAGAATAAAATGTGCAAAACAAAAACCCAAAAATGAGGCAGGAGGAGTTAGTCTTTGCTCTGTTATTGACTGCTGCCGCCGAGTGCTCTCATTCAGACGGTGGTTAGAACATCGTTGCTCTCTTCGTCCTGTTTTCTTTAGGTGATTCTGCTGAAGTCGGGACATGATGAGTCCTGCCTTTTGTGTGAGGAGCCATGTCCTTATGTGCCATGAGTACAGAAGAATCAAAAGGTTAAAGAGGAACTTTAGCAGGCCGAGCCTCGCCGATTCTTCATCGTCAAAACTATCAGCGGGGCTCTCGCTACCGGTGGGGTTTTAATCATACAGGCTGAATATGTGTTCCTCTGTATGCATCCCCCCCTCAGCAGGCTGACAGGAAGGAGGCGATGCCCCAAACTAGTGGCTCCCGATTCTCTCGCTGAGGAGAGGCAGGAACAGATTTGTCCAACTCGACTGTGGATATGTGTCCAAGTCTTTGTCTGTTGGAGGGACACTTTGTTTTTCTCCGACGTCAACAGCGTTGTGTGAACGTTGTTGTTGGAGAAAAATAAACAAAGCTGAGCCTTGCAAGCAGGTTTCTTTCTTAGAGATCCCCGAGTCGCTCAGGGGAATTTCAGAAGAACCCTTCAGCGTGACGGACAGGCGTCCAGTCTGCGCTCCTCTGTGCGTCTGGCGTGCTCTGGGTTAGGATCGATCTGGAGAGGAGGGAACAGAAACATGTTGATTTTGTTTGAAATGTATTCAAATACAAAAGCTCTGCTTGATGTTATTTAGTTGAGTGGCGTTGCTGTGAGTGGCAGTCTGTTTTAGCAGCTCTCGAGTTTGACTCTAATCAATACTGTCACTTAGATTTGTGACTTGTTACTCTAATTATCCTTGTTTGAACTCCTTTCTGTCGCTGCAATGACACCTGAAATCCCTACAGGGATACAAAAGGGTTATCCTAACTTATTTACAGCTAATTGTTATTGTACTGTGGGTTTTCTTTGTTCTGGTATCACTATTGAACTCATATGTTTTGTATACAAGTCTTGTGTACTCTATAACATTGTGATTTTTAACATTATTTAGGTGTATGTATTTTCTGTTATTGGTAGATGTGTGTATGTTAAATGGTGAAACGACAATAAACAAACACAACGGTGCTTACCTCAGAGTACAGAGGAGGAGGCTGGAAGCGGAACTCGTGAATGTAGGCGAAGAGCGGTCCGTTCAGATCCTCGCGGGCCGCAGGGACGTCCAGACTGCTCTGCCTCTGCTCTTCTGTCACAATCTCTGCATAGCTTGGAGGAGCTGCAGAGGAGGAGCAAAACCGCATGTTAGCATCCTAGCTAAAAAGGAAGTTTTCAAATCTGCATCTTGACCTTGAGATCCAACCTACCTTCAGGCCTCTCGGGCAAACCCATGCCCAGCCAGCTCATGCTGCACTGGCTGCTGACGCTGGAGGTCCGGGAGCCAAAGGGGTGGAGCGGGATGGTGCCGATGACCA